TCACACGCACGCACGCACGCATTCACACGCACGCACGCACGCATTCACACGCACGCACGCACGCATTCACACGCGCAGGTATACAGGTACACCCACGCATGCGCAGACACCACACTGCTGACATGCACGCACGCACGCACGCACGCACACGCACGCACGCACGCACGCATTCACACGCGCAGGTATACAGGTACACCCACGCACGCACAGACACAACACATGCTGACATGCACGCACGCACGCACGCACGCACACGCACGCACGCACGCATTCACACGCGCACGTATACAGGTACACCCACGCACGCACAGACACAACACATGCTGACATGCACGCACGCACGCACAGACACAACACATGCTGACATGCACGCACGCACGCACGCACGCACGCACACGCACGAACGCACGCACGCGCACGCACGCACGCACGCACACGCACGCACGCATTCACACGCGCAGGTATACAGGTACACCCACGCACGCGCAGACACCACACACGCTGACATGTACGCACGCACGCTCGCAGGCACACACGCACGCACACGCACGCACGCACGTACGCACATCACGTAACTAAAACAACCGTGGCTGTTATGAAATAATTGAACAAACGTATAGATACGCCCGTGTAAGAAGATACGATGAAACGTTTAGATGGATTAGAGACATTCTGCGCCATGTGCCTATTACCTGCCAAATGTGGAGAGACCTAGCATTATTACTGGGCCATTATAGATAAAACGTCACTTATATATATATATATATACCTTACATTGTGTTGTTAAGTGATCTTTTCTTTGTTAGATAGATAGTTAGATAGACGGGCAGGTAGACAGGCAGACAGACGGATAGATAGATAGGTGTCTACCCATTACGTACAAATAAATCGCTTTCCTACATTATTATTATTATTATCATACTTTAGTAAAAAAGACGTCGGCGTTAGGACGTCGGCGTTAGATGGCAGCATTGCTCTGGGTTTCATCTATCTCACATTTCTCTCCATCAGGCATCAGATATCTCACATCTCTCTCCATCAGCTATCTCACATCTCTCCCCATCAGATATCTCACATTTCTCTCTATCAGCTATCTCACATT